GGCATGGGACTTGGTAATAAATAGCTGAACTGCATCAAATATTCTGATCCCTTTAATAACATTTCTTTTTTAACATTGATTTGTTGCTCCACACTTAGTTATGCATTCATTGGTAGCTTCTTGTATGTGCCCTGATGGGGGATGGAACAGCCAATCTTAGCGTTATCAGAACACTATCCAACTGAGCTACCCGCCCCCCACCAGGGTTTAGTAACATTTCTGATTACCAAATACAGTTATAACACCTGGAAGGCTCAGAAAATATAAATTAAAACACTTTTTTTAAAAGTACACCTTGTTTTTCATTTGAATTCTTATATTGTACTCCCATATGACAAAAGGAATCTATGCATTGGGTATGAAGCTGTTTTAAATGAGTCAATTCCTCCAGTTTAAATAACCTAGTCCAATTTTTGTCACATTTTTCATTTTTATAAGGGAGTAAAAAAAAAAAAAATAACTTCTTTCAATGTCTAAGTAATAGTATTCAAACGAAACTCAAAAATCCCTATTTTCCTTCGAATGGCGTTTGGGCATCAATTATGCCCCCCACGCTCCACCAAGAAATAAGGTACCAGTTAAATTCTCAAACTAGGTTCCACTGTCAATCAAGACATTTAAATTATCCTCACTTAGCTATTTTTAACTTCCTTTAGATTTACCCCTTTGGCCACTTCATAACCATCTGAAATGCCTGACACCAAGTCTAACATCATCCGGCTCTCTCCAATCTTTGCAGGCAGAACGCGCACCTCCGGTAACGGGGGCCTTCGCATTCTCGTAACTCAATTCTGCACCTGAATGCCGATGTAACAAACCTCGAGTCTTTGCACTTTCATCCCATTTTAACTCAGCCTGGCTGCCAAAGCAAATGAACTTCCTACATACTCCAAAAATGGCTAGTATTTTCGATAGTTTTTGTTTTTGGTGGTTTGTTTGTTTTTTTAGATCCTCACTCGAGGATACGTTTTAGAGAGGGAGGGAGACGGAGAGAAACAACTGATCGGTGGCCTCCGGTAGGCGCCGGGCAGTGTTCGACCACAACCTAGGTTTGCGAACTGACCGGGAACCAAACCCGCAACCTTTTGGTGAACCGGGGTCCAGGACGCTCCAACCGAGCCACCCGGGCAGTTTAAATTGGGGTGGAGACCTACAAATCATTGCCTAAACCTAACACGATGTATTCACTCTCACTACGTTCAGGGAACCCGAGGCAATGCTTTCCTTTAATTCGCGACACATACAAAAGATAAAGTGAAAAAGGAGCATTACGGACGACTTCAAATCCTGAACCTGAACAACACGGGAGCGATCAAAGATCCGCAGTATCTCCCAACGAAGTCCCAAACCATCTCCGGCTGCCAAGCTCCTCCGACGCTTCGGCAGGGGTAGGAGGCTCACCCTCCCGCCGGACTGTCGATGCCCCGGAGACTGGACAGGCGCGGAGAGGGTTGGCAGTCGCGAACTGGCATACGGCAGCTCTCAGAAAGCAAAGCCCTCATCCAGGCCCAAAGGCCTCAGCTGACACCGAGAGCCCCCAGGGAGCTGCTAGGCATCCATCCCATCCTGTCCCATCCCTCCCAACCCCTTCCCTCCCAACCGGGCGATGCTCGGCAATCGCTAGGCAAAGCGGAACCCGTCCCCAGAACGTGGTCCAGTAAGCCCACCGGGAGAGCCCAGATCACCCGCCAGCCCCTGTGGGGAAAATGGCGTCAGTCACCCCTTCTCCCTCCCGGCTAGTCACAAGGACCAGCCTCCCTCCCTCGCTACAAAATGGCGCCTCCCGCTGGGGCCCCGGAATCTGCATAATTCACTTGCCAGCGAGGCGGTGCCGATCTGGGATGAACGGTTCTGCTAACCACTCAGACACAGGAACTTCGATTCCGCATTTCAGGCAAGCCACTCCGGCACTGCTCTGACGGCATGACGTCACCAAAATGGGGCGGGGATAAGCTGGTCTCTCGCGTCGCCTAAATTTGAGCCAATGGCAAGCAGGAGCTGCCTCACGAGTGACGCAGTGTCAGCCCAATGGAAGCTGGGGGCGGGCTTCAGACTGGGTATGCGTGTTGCGGGGTTTGGGGGCCGGGCGGCTGTTTCCTGTCCTGGTGCATGGTGGTCGGACGAAGGAATTGTTGGAAAATTTTCTCGGAGGTTCGTATATAAATGTGTTTTTACCCAGTGTGCATTATTCTCCGCCCGGCCGCCGCCCTTAGCGCAGTGGCGCGGGCCCGCTCGGGCCCCGGGCCTGACTCCGGCTGCTCAGCCTCTGCCGAAGGCCCTTCTGATTTCACGGCCGGCCGCGGCACCGGCGCCCGGGCAGAAGCGGAGTTTATTAATAACCCGCGGCCGCCACTCTGAGGTGGCGGACCTTTTCTCGCCGAGGACGCCACCCCTCCCCCCCGTTGTCTTTGCGCGCCGCGCCCCGCCTGTTCCCCTCGGGGGACCGCCGCGGAGAGGGACGGGAGGGTGGAGACCTCTGGAGCCTGGCGGCGCCTTTCGGCCGGAGCTCCACGCGGAGCGGGTCCCCAGGCGCTCCCGCGGCGAGGCTCCGCCAGCTGGGACGGCGGGTCGCGGGCCGCACCGGGCCCCAGCTGTGGTGCCGGCGGCGGGACCGGCCGTGGGCCCGCTCGGACCCCGCCTGAACGTCGCACCTAGAATTTCCTCCCACCTAGATCGTGGGCAGATTCATTGTTTTTCTTCAGTTAAATAAAAAAGATATTTAGGTCACTGAGGCCTCGCACCAAATATTAGAAATTGTCAATTTTACCATTCCTCCTTTTTGTCGGTTTTGGTCAAAGAGTGAATGAGTCCTTGTTGCTTTGTAACATGTTATTGTGGAACGTGAACCAATTTATTCCCTCCTCTTACAGTATTTTAAACGTTCTTCCCCCAACCCACCCCCTCGGAATTAACGAAGTTAAGCAAAAAAAAAAAAAAAAAAAAAAAATAGGGGAAAAGAATACCATTGCTAAACCCATTATATATTTAAAATGAATTTAAGCCTTTGCTTTGGAAGTGTCTAATCAGCTGGTATAATCATTGTGGGATGTGGTGGAAAATTGTAGGTTGGAGATTGTGGTGAGCTTTGTCCTGCATCTTAATAAAAGATAAGTGGTTTGGCTGTAGCTGACAAAAATCTGTGCAATACTTAGTATTTCATTAAGTGTTTAGATGATAAGATGATCATCCAAACCCTGATGAGATGATCAGATTTGCAACTAATTCAGGTGTATGTTGGAAATTACCTAGCCTCTCCCACTTTTTTAAATAGCTTTATATAATTTTTTTATATAATAGCTTTTAATATAATTTTTATAGAATAGCTTTATATAATTCACATACCTTACAATTCACCCATTTAAAGTGTAATTATGTTGGTTTGGTGTATTGAGAGTTATGCCAACCCATCACCACCATCAATTTTATAACATGTTCTCTCCAAAAAGAAACTACCCATTAAGTTACTCCCCGTTCCCTTTAATCCTCCCACCCGTCCCTTCCCCAGCCACTCATCTACAGATTTGTCTATTTTGAACATTTCATATTAATCTTCAGGATGTGAACCTTTTTGATTGACTTTATCTTAGAATAGTATCTGCAAGTTTCCTTCATGTTACAGCATTATTGATGCTTCATTTCTTTCATGTATGGACATAGCATGTTCTATTTACCAACATCTGTTGATGGCCATATAGATTGTTTCCACCATTTGTCTCTTATATGTAATGTTGCTATGAATATTGTGTACAAGTTTTTGTGTGGACATATTTTCATTTTTCTTGGAGATTATATGTGTGTGTGTGTATATATATATATATATATATATATGCACATATACCTAGAAGTAGAATTTCTTGATCATATAGTTGGTAGCTACCAGTATATTTAACCTTTTGAGAAACTGTCAAATTGTTTTCCGAAGTATGAGAGTTCCCATTTCTTCATATCCTTGCCAGTACTTGTTATTATCAGTCTCTTTGATAAGTAGCCATTTTAGTGGGAATGAAGTGGTATCTCTTAGGGATTTTGATTTGCATTTCCCAATGGCTTATGGTATTGAGCATTTTTTTCATGTGTTTATTGGCCATTTGTATATCTTTTTTTTTTTTATTATTGATTTTTTACAGAGAGGAAGGGAGAGAGATAGAGAGTTAGAAACACTGATGAGAGAGAAACATCGGTCAGCTGCCTCCTGCACACCCCGTACTGGGGATGTGCCCGCAACCCAGGTACATGCCCTTGACCGGAATTGAACCCGGGACCCTTCAGTCCGCAGGCCGACGCTCTATCCACTGAGCCAAACCGGTTTCGGCCATTTGTATATCTTTAGAGAAATGTTGAGTTTGGTCCTTTCTCCTTTTTTAAAATTGGATTGCTTGTCTATTACTGAGTTGTAAGAGGTCTTTATATAAAAGTCCCTTATCAGATACAAGATTTGCAAAATGTTTGTAGCCATTGGCTGCAAGTGGAGATATTGCTGTGAAGTGAGGATTCATTGTGCTCCTCATAGAAAGATGACCTACCTGGCTTGGGGAATTGTACCTCTACTATTACTTCAGCTGTACCTCTACTATAATTATTTATAATGTACATGCAGTTTATGATCATGTGAGGAGAATTTTCTGAGTCCTGAGGTTTTCATCATTACTCAGTTTGGACATTTTTAATCTAATTTTTGCTTTTTTTGTTTTAACCTGAGGTTTCACTTAGTTCTGAGTCTTTTTGCTCCTTGCTTTATTTTAGGACAGTGACTTTTTAAGATTCGGGTTGCATGTGTCATTGCTCCTTTTTATGCTTAATTTGTGAGACAGTATTTTAAACTTTATGTGGTCCTGCCTGGGTAGCTCAGTTGGTTAGAGCTTCTTCCCCATACGTTAAGGTTGTGGGTTCAATCCCCAATCAAGGCACATACAAGAATCAACCAGCAAATGCATAAATAAATGGAACAAGTCATTGTGTTTCTCTCACTCGCTCTCCCTTTTCTTCTTTCTCAAATCAATAAAATTTTTAAAAAATAACAAACTTTCTTTTACTGTCAACCAAAGTTATTTTGTTTTTAAAGATGGATTTAGACTGAGAAATCGCCCTCATAGAAAAGAAAATTTTGAAAACAATAATAAACTTTTCTCCATACTTTTCCATGGATCTAATCCCATTTTAAAACTGGTATAGTGAGAACTCTGCACCCTGTGGAAATAATTTGTCGTTAATGTGTAGACATGGGCACTTAACTCCAAACTATGTTTGTTGTACTTAAAATACCACTTTACTCAGCACTTAACTTTGACTAGGCACTAAATTGAATAATTTATTGAGTGGTTTACAAATGTACATAAATGTATTACCTTCCCTATAAACTTAAGTCAAGTACTGGAGTTATCCCTATTTTGCAAGTGAGTCAACTGAGGTGAGAGTGACTTGTCCAGCTATTACACAGCAGAGCTGTGACTTGAAGAAAGCCCAGTCTATCAACCTACCAGGTACCCACCTCTTTAACTTTTAAAATACAATCTGTATTTCCTAGAATGATACGGTATTTTGAGTACTTAATATGCCATAGCATGTATGTTAATGTGCTGTTTGTACACATTTTTAAGTTAAATAATAATGAAAGCATTTGGCCTAGTATTATAAACACAGAGATTTATAAAATATGAAGTAATGGTCACAAGAAATTGGAATCATTAAAATGAATGACACTTTATACATGCTATATACACATAATACAGTGGCATATTGTGAAAAGTGAGACGCAATGAAAAGAGTATTGGAATAAAAAAAGACCTAATTTTTAATCCCATCAAGTTAATAGAGGACAATTTTAAAGCACTCTGCAACATGAGATATGTTAAACCCATTAGATATTTATTGAACATATAATCTTAGGAGTCAAAATTCCAGAGACTCAGAGGACACAGCACATACTTAGAAGGATATAGTCTAATGGGCAGAATGGATCAGGTAGTGAGGGGCTAGTGACAATTAAAGGCTGTTCCCTGTGTTTGGACTGCCCTTTATACTCTTCTACCCCTAGGAAATGCTTATTTATCTTTTTATGCCCAAACTTATATGTCCTAGTCTTTGTATCCCTGAGGCAAAGCTAGGTGTTGCTTTCTCTATTAATGCTTCTTTTTGTTTATAATAACTACTTTTAGTTTTTAAGATCATAGACATTATCATGGTGAAAATTTTTTTTTTAACTTACAGAAGATATACAGTAAATATTGAGTCCTTTCCCCACTCACCCTCAGTCTCCTAGTCCCATTTCTGGGAGGTAACCACTTGTATTTTTAAATGTAGATATTTATATATTTTAAAAAAAACCACATGAATTCTTAGTTACGGGGAAATAACAAACTTTCCTCTATCCTCAAAGTTCTTCGGGCTGGTTGAATAATCAAACAGACATGATACAGATTAGCAAGAGAAAAATAACCAAATTTAATACATACCCTCCCCCCCCCCCAAATATGAAAGAGTCAGAAACCCCCACATGATAGTGGTTCAGAGAGAGGAAGGGGAATTGAGGTATATAAGATAACCTGAGCTAGGAATGAGATCATGTACCTTGGGGGCTTCAAAGAGTTATTGCAGAATGATAAGAACACGTGTATTTTATAGAAGTTTGTATTTGCCAGCAATTTGTGTCCAGGAAATAGTTGTTTCTTCATCTTTCAGTTGGTATAGATTTTTTTTCCATTAGGATCAAAACTATAGATACTAAAGCCTTTCTGGAGAAATTTAATAGTTGACCAACTTTCAGACAAGAGAGAACTTTTATTTATTTCAGATATGTGAGCTACCTATTGATGCTATATATTAGAGTTATTTGGAGATTTGTAAATGAAAGAAAAGGACAAATGCTTACGTTATGATAAAAACTTAGACGTTTATTTTATTTTATTTTGAGAATACATTTATTAAAACTGAGGACAGTGAAACAAAGGAAGGACTTAAGGTAGAAGAAACAACAGGAGAGAGCGTGGTTCACAGATCAATGCTCAACCACTGAGTTACATCGGCCAGGCCATATTGTGCTTTTAAATATTGACGTTGAAAATCAGATCTTTAGATCTGTAAAGGTCCTCAAGAGATACCCTTGTCCAGTTCCCTGGCCCAGGGCAGCTAAATTATCCCAACTCCTGTTTGAGACCACTCAGAGTCCACATAGGTAAAGGAACCTAGAGATAGAAGGAAGGAAGGGGGTTATGGTGGTGATTGGTACAAGAGCCATTCATTCATCTATTTATTCTGCACCTATTGTATATCTTCTAAGTGCCAACTATTTATTAGGTACTTAAGTCAGCAGTGATCAAACAGATAAAAATCCCTATCTGTCCTAGTGAAGGGGGAAATAGACAAACAAAATAAAAAGTAAGTGCATGTAATATGTCAGTAATACTATGCAGAAATATGAAGGAGGCCAGAGGGGTAGGGATGTCATGGTTGGGGTAGGAGGTGCAGTTTGAATGAAATGAACAAGGAAGCTCTCATTGGAGTGGCATTGAACAAAGACTTGAAGAAGAGGGAATAATAATGAAAATGCTGGAAAGAATGTTTGAGGCAGAAGGAACATCAAATGTAAATGTCCTGAGGCAGCAGAACACCAAGTATGTTTGAGGAAAAGCAAGGACATCAATGTGGCTGAAATAGAAGGAATGAGATGAAGAGCAGCAGGAATTGAGGGGCAAGATCATTGGCCTTATAGGCTAGTATAAGGACTTTGGCTTTACTTTGAGAAGTCATCAGAAGGTTTTGAGCCTGCTGTATTGAGAGGAGATTGTGGGGAGGTCACAGCAGGAGCAGGGAGATAGTTAGGATGTTTTTGCAGTAATGTTGGTGAGGGATGGGAGTGGCTTGGATCAGGGAAGTAATGGTGAAAATTGTGAGAAGTGGCCAGATTCAGGATAGATTTCTGAAGACTGAGTCAACAGATTGCTAGTGGATTATAAGTGGGAATCTTCAATCATGTTAAACCCAAAGAACTCTAATTATGGGAATTTTAGACATGGTCCATAACTGATAGGCAAGACTTGTCAGTGTGTTCAATAATTCACTGGTGAATTATGAAAAGCATGCCTTGGACTTTGGGTTCATACTCTTACCCTGCATATTCAGTGAAATTTCAGCTTATTTCAAACATTGTTTACTTCTTAGCATTTTTTTAAGATTCATAAATATTCTTTTTAGCTTTTATTTCCTATGCATTGTTCTTTGTTCTCAAGTGTCTATATTTTTCTTCAAGGTAAAAAATGTTGTTAGCCCAAATAAATCGAGATTCTCAGGGAATGACAGAGTTTCCTGGAGGAGGAATGGAGGCTCAGCATGTTACCCTGTGCCTGACAGAGGCAGTAACTGTGGCAGGTGAGCAGTCTTGTTTGAAGGGATCGTGTGGGCTTGGAAATACCATTTATCTTAAGGGAAAATTAAAAATCACAACACTGTGTTTACTTCCCTCTTCTTGTTTATCTAAAGACAACCCAAAGCTAAGCCTTTGGGTGGCATTTTTATCTTCATGTGGATGCTGGGTATGGCAGGGCAGGGAAACGTTTTTGTAAGTACTAGAAAAAGTCCCATTTGAGTCTAAATTAATCAGTCTGCCTTTTGCCTAATTTTCATTTTTAAAAAATAATTTAAATAGCATATGCATATGATGTTATCTAAAGAAAATAACTCTTTTTATGATAGATGCTGATAATTTAGAAAATATGGAAGGTGTAAGCTTACAAGCAGTAACACTTGCAGATGGTTCTACCGCTTATATACAACACAATTCTAAAGGTATGTGCCTCATATATAACCCATTGGTTAATACCAGCAATGTATAATAACCTCAGAGTTGAGCACTTAGCAACTATACATGATCTTAACTTAGCAACTATACCCCTTCCTAATCCCTCCTAAAGATGCTGTATTGCATATGGTGATTTTCAGCAGTCTCAGTTTAACTTATTTTTTAAAATAAATATGTTTTTATGGATTTTTAGAGAGAAACATTGATTGGCTACCTCCTGCATGTCCTCCACTGGGGACTGAGCCCGCAACCTGAGCATATGCCCCAACCTCAAATCGAACCAGTGACCTCTTTTGTGCATGGGAGGACACTCAACCAACTGAGCCACACTGACTGAGCTCAGTTTAACTTAAATATTGTTTTAATTTGGGGACACCCTTTGAGATATTCAGAAGATACTGTGGAGAATCAAAATTAGTGAGGCAGGAAGGAGTGTCCCCAACCTAATTCTAGTAAGACCTTTCTTGCTTTTTAAATTCAAATTATTATTTATTTATTTATTTTGATTGATTTTCCACAGAGAAGAAGGGAGAGGGATAGAGAGCTAGAAACATCGATGAGAGAGAAACATCGACCAGTTGCCTCCTGCACGCCCCCCAGTGAGGATGTGCCCGCAACCAAGGCACATGCCCCCGACCGGAATCGAACCCGGGACCCTTGAGTCCGCAGGCCGACGCTCTATCCACTGAGCCAAACCGGTTCAGCTAATATTTTTAAGAAATATATTCAGGGATGAGAATGACAGCTGGCCTCACATACACGGACATATTGTCTATTCTTCCCAGCTCCAGCTTCCCCCTAGTCAGAGTACTGTTCCTAGGTGGCTCTGAAAGGCATATAGAGGTTATACTCATGTAGCCTGCTATAATGAGCCACTCTTCCTCTTGAACTTGTCTAATTGAAAATTGGAGGGGAGGAAGGATGGCTGAGGGAGGATTTTCTGCTTTCTGTAGGATCACTGGATGTGTTATTGAATTGCCTCAGAACATTGAGGGAAGAATCAAGATGAACATGATCTTAAGTAGTGTATGTTTTTATAGTTGATAATCATTTTGAAATTGTATAAAATTTAAAATTTTGTTTGTGCTAATTTGTTGGCTTAAATGTTTTTTTGTTCCAGATGGAAAACTCATAGATGGCCAGGTCATTCAGTTGGAAGACGGTTCTGCTGCCTATGTTCAACATGTACCCATACCTAAAAGTAGTAAGTATTTGATGCTACTTACCTTCCTGTTTTTCATACTGCAGTATTTGCTACCTCAAGCTCCTCTTACTACTTAAACTCAGTCCTGATCTCTAGTCCTCCTCTGAAAGGGAAGATCAGTAGATGTCACATAGAGCTTATAAAGACCATTTTAACTTGATTGAGACTTTGTCTCAAAATAATAGAAAAGCACTTACTGGACTGCACTCTGGAGATAAGTGTGCAACAGTCCTAATATTTCTATTATTTTAGCTATTTAGCTAAATCCTACATGTCTCTGATTTTTTCCCCTTTTTTCTTTTTCTTCTTTCAACTCTTCTAATCCCCTGGTACATATTCCTAATATAAGTAGGAATATCTTTTTTTTTTTTTTTTTTTTTTTAAGTAGGACTATCTTAATAGCTTTTTACCATTAAGCACTTATTCAGAGTAGCTTTACTGAAATTACTTAAATGTTCAAGAACCCATAGAGCAAGGGTAGTTTTTATAATGTGTTCAATGATTTATTTTACTTATTTTACTCTGTTGTTGAATGATCAGAAAACATGGGATCTAAATGTAAGCATTGTTCTCGAGCAGGGGACAGTTTACGTCTAGAGGATGGTCAAGCCGTGCAGTTAGAAGATGGAACTACAGCCTTTATTCACCATACCTCCAAAGGTAAAATAGTTTTGGATGTGTGAATAAAGTAAGGAAGAAATGGGGACGTGGGAAAAATAAGACCTGCCTTTAGTTACTGAAGTGGTGTTATGTAAAAGAAGAATTATACTTGTTCTTAAATACAAGATGGCAGATTTTGGCACAATGTAAGGAAAAATTTCTGATAATTTGAGCTATCTTATAACAATTCAGAATAGCAAACCCCTGTTCCCTGAAGGACTTCAAATAGAGGCTACTTTTAAAATATGAAATTAGCCCTGACTGGTCTTTCTCAGTGGTTAGAGCATTGGCCCAAGCACTGAAGGGTCATGGGTTCGATTCCCAGTCAAGGGCACATACCTCAGTTGCAGGTTTGATCCCCTCCCTGGTCGGGTTGTGTGCGGGAGGCAACCAATTGATGTGATTCTTTCACATGGATGTTTCTCTCTCTCCCCCCCCCCCCTTTCCCCTTCCGCCTCCACTCCTCCCACTCTCTCTAAAAAGCAATGGAAAAAATATCTTTTGATATTTTTGAAGATTAAAAATCCTATATAATAAAAGGGTAATATGCAAATCAACCTAATGGCTGAACCACCAATCACTATAACATGCACTGACCACTAGGGGGCAGACGCTCAATGCAGGAGCTGCCTCCTGGTGGTCAGTTTGCTCCCACAGGGGGAGCACTGCTCAGCCACAAGCTGGGTTCACGGCTGGCGAGTGCAGTGGCAGTGGTGGTAGCCTCTCCCGCCTCCACAGCAGCACTAGGACCCCTCAGGGATGTCTGATTGCCAGCTGGCAAGTGGACATCCCCCGAGAAGTCCTGGACTGTGAGAGGGCACAAGTCGGGCTAAGGGACACCCCCCTCCCCCCAGTGCATGTATGTCATGCACTGGGCCTCTAGTATATATATAAAATATTTTAAAGTTAAATTGTTGACTTTTTTCTCTCTTAAATAGAACTTCTTTGCCTATTGTGTTAAAACTAAATTAAAATATCTGAAACAAATAGAGCAAAATACTAACGTTTATTAACTTCATGTGGTGAGGACCAGGGCTTTGAGGTAGAATTCATAGGTATAATGAGCACAGCTCTGCAGCAAGATATCTGGGTTCAAATCCTGGTCAGCTATTCTTTAGCTGTGTGACTTTGAACAAATTACTTAACCAAAAATATTTTTTTTCTTTAGCAGTGGGAGTTAATCATGGGTTCATTTCTAGTTGGACAGATTTACTATTTCATAATGCTGTATACAGCTTTGTATGGTTCTTTAAGGGGGGGGGGGCGGGGGGAACCATGGCCTTTGGAGTCACATTGACATGAATCCAGATCCTTGTTTTTTGACATACTGATTTTGGCTATTAATTAATTTTATTTATTTCCTGGTTCCTACGGAAAGTGACTTTACTTCCCAAAACCTCAACTTCCCATTTGTACAGTGGGGGTGGTAAATATACCTGCCTCACAGAATCGTGAGGATTGACTGAAATAGCACATGTAAAGCACATGAGTCAGAGTTCAGTGTAACTACTCAGTAAAACTTCATTCCCTTCTTCTTTTATTTATTTATTTATTTTTTAATATATTTTTATTGATTTTTTACAGAGAGGAAGGGAGAGAGATAGAGAGCCAGAAACATCGATGAGAGAGAAACATCGATCAGCTGTCTCCTGCACATTTCCCACTGGGGATGTGCCCGCAACCCAGGCACACGCCCTTGACCGGAATCAAACCCGGGACCCTTCAGTCCGCAGGCCGACGCTCCATCCACTGAGCCAAACCGTTTTGGCCCCTTCTTCTTTTAAATATGTAACTGTTCATCAGACTACCTTTAATTTAATGCCATTCTCTTCCATTCCCTCAGATAGTTATGACCAGAGCGCATTACAGGCAGTTCAGCTGGAAGATGGCACAACGGCTTACATCCACCATGCAGTGCAAGTCCCACAGTCTGATACCATCCTAGCAATTCAGGCTGATGGTACCGTGGCAGGTCTGCATACTGGGGATGCCACAATTGATCCTGAAACCATCAGTGCTTTGGAACAGTATGCAGCAAAGGTACATCATTTTACAGTATCAAGAGCAACCTTCTTTATTTTTCATTAAAAGAAAAGAAAACAAAAAAGTATACTGTATCCGATAAGAAACTGACAATTCAGAGTCAGAATCAGACAGCATCAAGGAGAAGATCAGCATCTTAACAGAAGTGTGTAGAAAGAAATATTGGAAGAAAAATAAGGGACGGGATAAGAGCTTATAGAAAATAAGTGGGTGACAGGTAACGAATAGAAGTTATATTCGAGGATGAGTGAGTGCCATAAGAGAAATAATAAAGTGTAAGTAAAACTTATGAATTAAGAAGTAGAAATTAGAACTTTGGAAAAGGTGAAGGAACGTCTCAAGTTTTATATCAAAACGGCTGGGTTTTTTTCCCTGTATTGAATATATATTTTTCATATAGTTTAAAAGGTTACTTTCCCAGTTTTTATTGTGAAAATTTTCACACACAGAAATAAGCAATAATGAACCTTCATGAACTTATCACCCTGTCTAAATAATTATCAAAATGTAAAACTGTTTAAAGCTTTATTTTATTCCTATAGGTATCCATTGATGGAAGTGAAAGTATAACAGGTACTGGAATGATTGGAGAAAATGAGCAAGAGAAAAAAATGCAGGTATGTAAAGCTACTTTTTTATATAAGAATTTCATTCTCAGCATTATTGTGCCCTTTTATGTATGAAAGCAAAAATAGGGAACTTGCCCTGGCCAGTTTTCTCAGTGGTTAGAGTGTTGGCCAGTGGACTAAAGGATTGTGGGTTAGATTCCTGGTCAAGGGTATGTACCTCAGTTGCAGGTTTGATCCCTGGCTTGGGTGGGGTGTGTGCAGGAGGCAACCAATTGATGTATGTGTCTCTCTCACATCACATCGATATTTCTCTCTCTTCCCCCCCCCCCTAAAATATATATAAATATAGATACAGATATATCCCTTGAGTATGTTAAGGAATACATGCATACAATGGAGATGATACTTGGGGGTGTTTTTCTAGAGTGGCAACACAGCATTCCCCCCCTTACTAGCGGTTTCAGTTACCCACAAGCAACTGCAGTTTAGAAATATTAAATGGAAAACTTGAACAGTCATAAGTTTTAAATGTGTGTCATTCTGAGTAGCATGATGAAATCTCACACTTCCCTGCGTAGGATGTGAATTATTTTTCAGTCCGGTGTATCCTCACTGTGTATACCTTACCTGCCTGTTAGTCACTTAGTAGCTGTCTCCATTATCAAACAGACTGTCATTGTATTAGAGTACTTTTGTTCATGCACTTAATCATATTTTCAAGCACTTAATAATATTTTACTTAATAATGGCCCCAAAGCACAAAAGCAGTGATACTGGCAATTTAGATATGACAAAGAAAAGCCATAAAGTGCTTCCTTTAAGTGAAAGTTGAAAGTTCTCAACTTAATAAGGTACTTTATCATCTCATAACATCATCGTAAGAAGAATGATTACAGCACAATAAGATATTTAGAGAGACCGCATTCACATAACTTTATTACAGTATATTATACATGTTATATTAATTATTATTGTTCATCTCTTACTGTGCCTATTTTATAAATTAAACTTTATTACAAGTATGTAGATATAGAAGAAAACATAGTGCATATAGGGTCCCATCCAATCTGTGGTTTCAAGTCTCCACTGAGAGTCTTGTATCCCTGTGGATAAGGGGGGACTACTGAAGATCTGTGAGCTCTAGCCACTCCTCCTCATGGATCTCCTTTCGACTTCTTCCAGAGTCACTGACTTCAGCCATGGAATGGAATTAGCCTAACTGGCTCAGCATGATAAAATCTTCATAGAATGATAACAGTAATTTCATCTATTTTATCTCTGTGTAAACAATTTAAGTAATACTTTTTGTTTCATCTAGATTGTCTTACAAGGACATGCAGCAAGAGTGACTGCTAAATCTCAACAGAGTGGAGAGAAGGCGTTTCGATGTGAATATGATGGATGTGGAAAATTATATACAACAGCTCATCATCTTAAGGTATATATGAAGAAATGCTGGGTCTAGTTATGAGAATACCTAGGACATTAAATGCCAACATGATAAATTTGTAGCATTCAAATGCCTTCTTTTCCTTCATTTATCAAGGTATGGACCAGTGATGGCAAACCTTTTGAGCTCGGCGTGTCAGCATTTTGAAAAACCCTAACTTAACTCTGGTGCCGTGTCACATATAGAAATTTTTTGGTATTTGCAACCATAGTAAAACGAAGATTTGTATTTTTGATATTTATTTTATATATTTAAATGCCATTTAACAAAGAAAAATCAACCAAAAAAATGAGTTCACGTGTCACTTCTGACACGCGTGTCATAGGTTCGCCATCACTGGACTATAGACACACATTCACACTCACACTCAATCAAAGACACACAAAAGCCTATGCAGATTTTAGAAAATGTCAACTTTTTGAGGGCTTGGACTATGTTTACTTCATCTCTGTCTACATACTGGCACATGGTAAGTACTCTATATATTTGAATACATTTTTGTCAAATGTGAAATTTATAAAGTTATATCAGTAGTGTGTATAATCACTTTGTTAACAGTGATTTGCTGAAATCTAGCAAAAGTTGGTGTTAGTTTGTCCTGTCGTCCAAATATACAGGCCAAGTACTTTCATTGCAGCTAAACACGATATACCATGACTCAAAAATAATAGATCACAATAACTGAATAATTTACAGTGTGGCAGGAAGTGTGCATTTAGTATGTGTGAAGTAGCAACCTCAGAGCCCATCGTCACTACTTAGCAGTGTGTAACCTTAACATGTTACCTACCCGCTTAGTACCTTATTTTCCTTATCTATAAAATTGGATGATAAAATATATTCCCATAGAGTAGTTATGAGAATTAAATAAAACTATACATGTAAAGTATCAAAAAGAATGGCCTGGCATGTGGTAGAAGTTCAATAAATGTTGGCCACTGTCATGATCATTCATTTGTCACAGCAGCACCCTGTGGCAATACTGTTTATGTCCCCACTTTACAGAGAGCATTTAAGGCTACAGCAGGCAAGTGTCGTGGCCACACTGCTAGTCAGTGGTGAAGCCTTGCCTCAGATGGAGGCAAGCAGCAGCCTCTGTATCTTAACCTTCCATTGGGTAGCCTCTCCCTACACTCTGCTCCTGGCTCTCACCATGCAATGTTCCATACACACACCTTTGAGCACTCTAGAAAAATTCACACCTCCACTCTTCCTGTTTCTTATTTAAAATGAGTACTTCTTAACAGAATATTTTGGTCTATACTGAGAATTCCTGGACTGTAGTTTTTGAGAAAAGTTACCTTTTTGTGTGCATATGGTTTTTCCAAAGTAACATACAAATAACAAAATAATTCAGCAGTGAAAAAAAAAATAGGTCTGTGTTGACACCATCTACCTGAGAAATGCCTAAAGGAAATAGAATCATTTTGTGTTTTAATGACAGGTTCATGAAAGGTCACACACGGGAGACCGGCCTTATCAGTGTGAGCATCCTGGCTGTGGGAAAGCGTTTGCAACAGGTAAAAACATGAATTTGCTTCACTTAGGAGTCAAGCAGAGGCAGGCCTGAGGCAGTAACTGACCCCTTGCTTTTGTCTGAATTAGCAAGCACACAATGACCAGTTTTTCAGTCTGTACCTTAGCTACCTCTTATCCTACTTGCTCTATTCTCTCTCTCTTCCCATTTTTCTCCTCAGGCCTATTTTATTTCTGCCTACTTTGTTTGGTGTTTCACTCCACACCCTGCTTTATTTTAGCAGGAAAAATAAAAGCTGGCACAGAATTTAACATTAGGACAGACCTTAGGGGGAACCCTGGGGAACTGGGACAGATCCAGCAGGGCCAGGAGGAGTACCTCATTCCATGTCTTGAGTCCACTTCAGGTTTTTGGGTTATGAGTTATGAGCATCTAATAAGACGGGAACACTTTTTAAAAAGACACATCCTCTTCTAGACAGAGATGAAACAATTGAATTTCCAGCATGACAGTCCTGAGCTGTCATATTCTTGTACATTTTATTTTATTTTTTATTTCAGAGAGGAAGGGAGAGGGAGAGAGAGAAACATCAATGATGAAAGAGAATCATTGGCTGAAACCGGTTTGGTTCAGTGGATAGAGCGTCGGCCTGCAGACTGAAAGGTCCCAGGTTCGATTCCGGTCAAGGGCATGTACCTGGGTTGCGGGCACATCCCCAGTGGGAGATGTACAGGAGGCAGCTGATCGATGTTTCTCTCTCATCGATGTTTCTGACTCTCTATCTCTCTCCCTTTCTCTCTGTAAAAAATCAATAAAATATATTTTTAAAAAAAAAGGAAAGAGAATCATTGATCAGCTAGCTCCTGCATGCCCCCACAGTGGGGACTGAGCCCGCAAACCGGGCATGTGCCGACTGGGAATCGAACCGTCACCTCCTGGTTCATAGGTCCACGCTCAACCACTGAGCCATGCTGGCCAGGCCTCTTGTACATTTTCAATAGTTATTTTGTTGTGCTTGCCTAGTATTATAGCCTTGGTGTTTACTATATTTTTCAATAGTTTAATTTCAACAGGCATGGTTAGAGGGGTCTTGTGTAATTAAATTTCTTTTACATTTTTTTTAAAGGTTATGGATTAAAAAGTCATGTCAGAACTCATACAGGAGAAAAGCCATATCGGTGTTCAGAAGATAACTGTACTAAATCCTTTAAAACTTCAGGAGATCTACAGAAACATATCAGAACTCATACAGGTACAGTACTGGTGTGAACAAATCTGTCTAGGCCAGCAGTCGCCAACCGGTGGTCCATGAGGTCCGAAAGGTTCTCGACTGCTGCCCTAGACCACCAACTCTCAGTATCTAAAAGGGATTGTCTAAGTAACAGGCTTATTTACCTAGGATTACACACATACTTCGTAGACCAACTGAGACCAGAACCTAAGGCACCCAGTGGTTTCTCAACTTAGTATTGCTTCTCATGCATCAAGCTACTGCTAAAAAAAAGTGTTCGAGCCCCTAACAGCCTCACAGAAAGAAAGGCTTGCAGTTTCCTTGTGATCATCTCTCCTCCCCTTAAAATTTTCTTCTCTTTTTTTAAAACAGCATTTTGCCCTTATCTTCCCTCTCTTCTGCTCTCTTCCTTGTGTGTAGAATTGGTGTTATAAAGGTAATTATTTGCTTTGGATTAGAGCTGGAAGAATTTTAGAAACTGTTGATAAGAGATTCTATTATAAGCTGTTGACTAAGTGACATAGCATAAGAATTTCGTTTGAGATTTACTTCAGATGTTCTAAATATAGTGTAAGTTTGTCCCCAAATACCTCTAAGCATTCTGAAATAGTTTATCAGATTTTTCTGGAGGATTCTTCCAGTCATTAAAATTTAACTTTTAGTTCAAATATGATTTAAAATTGGCTTTGCTTTATAATGTTCAGGAACAAAGCTGTAGGTCTGTGCTTCTAGTTCATTCATGCACTTACTTTTATCCATTGTACCAAAAGCAAGTGTTTCCGAGCTCCTGCAAATTCTATTTGGATTTGCTATATGCTGCCAACTTTTCATATAAAGTTACATAAAACCATTAAACTAGTTCTATTAATATTTGGTCTAAACATCAGAATTGTGATTCCTTTGATAGTATTCATTTCGCACACCACATATTCATGTGGTTTTTAAATTATGAGTATTTTCATTGGTAAAATGTTAGATTGAGTAGGGGGTTTCAGAGACTTCTATTATAAACAAGTGATTTCAGTGGGAAAACAAAGAAAGGTGCTACAGAGTTAAAACATTTGAGCTGGGAAAACATTAGTGGTCATTTTTTGATCCAGAGAGGAGAAGAGATTTAACCAAGATAAACTCTTTATTCGCCTTAGGTTAATGTACTGAACAGAACCTCATTAAAGAAAGGATCAAGGATTCCTGCTCCTTTTTATTATTTTATTTTAAATATTTTTTATGTTTTTATGGATTTTAGGGAGAGGGAGGGAAAGGGAGAAAGAGAGAGAGAGAAACATTGATTGGCTGCCTCCTGCATGCCCCACACTGGGGATCAAGCCTGAAACCCTGGCATGTAGCCTGACCAGGAATCAAACCAATGACCTTTTGGTGCACGGGATGACGCTCAACCAACTGAGCAACTCGGCCGAGGCTCCTGCTCCTTTTTGTTTTTAATTAATTTATTATTATTTTTTAATCCTCACCAGAGGATATTTTTTTCCCATTGATTTTTTTTAAAAATATACTTTATTGATTTTTTACAGAGAGGAAGGGAGAGGGATAGAGAGTTAGGAACATCGATGAGAGAGAAACATTGGTCAGCTGCCTCCTGCACACCTCCCACTGGGGATGTGCCCGCAACCCATGTACATGCCCTTGACTGGAATCGAACCTGGGACCCTCCAGTCCGCAGACCGATGCTCTATCCACTGAGCCAAGCCAGTCACGGCTCCCATTGATTTTTGAAGAGAGTGGAAGGGAGGGAGGAGAGGGGGAGAGAGAGTGAAATATCCACCTGGAAGAGACACATGGATTGGTTGCCTCTGGCACTTGCCCAGAGAGGCCAGGGATCCGAACCTGCAAATGAGGTACATGCCCTTGGCTGGGAGTCAAACCCTTCGTTCATCTCTACACACACACACACACACACACACACACACACACATTTAGAGAGAGAGAGATTTTCTTTTTAATCCCAGAAGTTGTTTGCTTTATTTGAGCTCATTTAAGAAAAGGTCACATGGGAATCAAAAGCAAAGGCTGTTTTCTGATTGACGGTTTAAAGGCCCTTTGCGTTTTGATGTTGTATAAAGCCTATATGAAAAAAGGATTATAGCTGGCAAAGTAGACTTTTAAAGTAGACTTTTTCATAAGATTCGAATGAGAACAATAAAATATTCAGCAAGGATTTTTGAGGCATCTTATGTGCTAGAGTCCAGCCGTGGGCAAACTACGGCCCGCGGGCCGGATCCGACCCGTTTGAAATGAATAAAACTAAAAAAAAAAAAAAGACCGTACCCTTTTATGTAATGATGTTTACTTTGAATTTATATTAGTTCACACAAACACTCCATGCTTTTGTTCCGGCCCTCCGGTCCAGTTTAAGAACCCATTGTGGCCCTCGAGTCAAAAAGTTTGCCCACCCCTGTGCTAGACACTAGATTTTAAAACAACCAAAAATTATTTTTCTTCAAGGTATTATAGAATAAATAAAGTTGTGGAGAGGTTTGTAGGGAATTCTAGAGTTATTCTAACTGAATCTAGCATTGTTCTTAATCCTATTTTAACAGTGTGCGTGTGTGTGTGTGTGTGTGTGTGTGTGTGTGTGTGTGTGTTTCTTTATGACATTTCTTTCTTTGCTTTTCTCAGCTTATTTTTTAATATGCCCATCTAAATGATTCCATCTTGGGGAGTCATGTAATCAGTGATGAGTTTTGAATACTGTTCAGGTTTTCCTATGTAAATTTAAGTTTGGAGTAGAAGATGCTGTTTGGGGAGGCGGGGGGGCAGGGGGTGGAAAGGAACAATCTGAAAGGGAAGCTCACATACAAGAATTCTAGAACCTTGAGCATTACCCTAAGCAGAATTAAAGAATCAGACATTATGATTTTTTATGTATTTTTGTATCATTTACTTTATTCCCTTGTGTGTTTTCAGGAGAAAGACCCTTTAAATGTCATTTTGAAGGCTGTGGTCGGTCTTTTACAACATCAAATATCAGAAAAGTGCATATTAGGACACACACAGGAGAAAGACCTTATTACTGCACAGAACCAGGATGTGGAAGGGCATTTGCCAGTGCAACCAATTATAAAAACCATGTGAGGATACACACAGGTAACAGTCTCTGATTTTTTGGTCTTCTAACTTTTTCTTTTAAGAATAAACATCTTTCCCTGGCCGGTGTGGCTCAATTGGTTGGGCACCAGTTCGATTCCCAGTCAGGGAACATTGTCTGGGTTTCTGGCTCCATCCGAGGTGAGGGGCAGGCAGGAGGCAGCTGATCCATATTGTGCTCTTTCGTCATTGATGTTTCTATCTCTCCTTCTCCCTTCCTCTGTCTCTAAAAATCAATTTAAAAAAATAAACACCTTTATTACATGAACTAAGATAGGAGGGAAGAGGATGTATTTGCCTTTCTAGGCCTTGCCCTCTAGCACATAACCATCTGCCCGGCCACACTGGCCTGTCTGGAGTGACATGTACAAGAAATTTCCCCTGCTGGAACTGCGCCTCTAGAAGACTGTTGATTGTGGCATTCTTTTTCCTTTCATCATGTTTCTTAATTTTCTCTGATCATTTTTTGTTTAAAGTCTCTTCCTCCTCAGGAGTCAGTTTGGCCCATTTGTAGCACAAAGTTTGTAATTTTTTTTTTTTTTAAATATATTTTATTGATTTTTTACAGAGAGGAAGGGAGAGAGACAGAGAGTTAGAAACATCGATGAGAGAGAAACATCGATCAGCTGCCTCCTGCACACCCCCCACTGGGGATGTGCCCACAACCCAGGTACATGCCCTTGACCGGAATCGAACCTGGGACCCTTCAGTCCGCAGGCCGACGCTCTATCCACTGAGCCAAACCGGTTTCGGCAAAGTTTGTAATTTTGATGCTCCACATTGTGGACATATTTTTTGGTGGGTGGGAATGGAAAGGTGAATGGAATAGGAGAGTAGAGCAGAATGTGCATTAGTTTTACAAGAAATTTAAGATATTTTTATTACTGGTATTAAGAGTAAATTGTGATAACTCAAAATTAAAAGACATGTATACAGACTGAAGCTTCAGTTGCTTAAGTCAGTGTTTCTCAGGCTGCACTCAAAAACCCCTGGGTATTTCTGGATATATTTTCAGGGATCAACAACAATCCCTTTCTTTTGAACAATGTCATTAACTGCCAATATTGCTATGGGCAGAGGGGAAGCTTTAAGAGAATATAAAGAAAATTTGCTTTCTTAGAAAAAGAAATCACTCAGTCAATAATATAAAAAGAAATTAAAGGGACATGAGACCATAAGCAAAGAGACTGATCAAGGTCATTTAGAATATTTGAAGTGAGGTAGAGAGAGATACAAATGAAAGACATTTAAGAGGTATTGGCTAAGGACTTAGTAACCAGGATAGTCATGAGGAATAAAGAAGAACCAATCATTCTAGCTTGTGATAAAGTTGAATGATGCTAAGATGGGGAAGAGCAGGTTAGAAAGGAAGTGTAGTGGTGTCGCTTAGGAATATATAGGTCTCTAGGTACCCCTCAACACCTGAACTCTTACCATCTGTATATTTGGTATAATGATTTGCAAAATTTTTACTCACAATTGATGATCCAAATTGAAAACCACTATAATAAGTCTACTTGTGGGTGTATTTTTCTGTGAAAGGAAAAAAATATTAAGTTGCATGTGAGTCTCGATGAGAGAACAAACAGTATACTGGAGTCATATTTCTGATACAGTTATATCTTATGCTTGCATTGTGTGTTATATGTTATTGCTATTATTTTCCCTGCATAATTAAGTTAATGTATTTTCTAAGAAAGTGGAAAATTGCCTATAAAACCCTAAGAGGTCTAAAAAGGTGGCTGTAGGTTGGAAGAAAAATTATATTTTGATCATATAATTTGCATTCCTTTTATAGCTTTAATATTTTTCATTTTTGACCCCCGGCGTGGTTCAGTGGTTGAGCATCAATCTATGAACCAGGAGATCATGGTTTGATTTCCGGTTAGGGCACATGCCTAGGTTTCGGGCTCAATCCCCAGTAGGGGCCGTGCAGGAGACAGCTGGTCTATGATGTTTATAAAATCCTTACAGTAAACTGCATTAGTTATAATAATAATTGTATTTATTGTCATTATTAGTATGATATCATTAATCATATCTAGATTATCTAGTTATGGGTAGATTGCAATTTTACCAAAAAGGCTTAGAGTTGAACTGGGAAACATCTTCATCCTTAATTTTCTCATCCCTTGAAATTAAGGGGAAAGTGGTGTTCAGACACAGGATGACATTCAGGGTGCAGACTACCCTTTAACCAAATCAAAAGCATTGTTAGGGAGTCTTTTCTTGTGAGCTGCTCATGACAGGATAGAAAGGGATTTGGAAACTACTTCTTTTTGCCATTATAGCCCGTTTTCCTCCCCCTTCTCCCAAAGTATGGAATGATTATGCCTTCATGTGAAAAGTTTATTTATTTTGTTTTGTGTTTTTTTGCCTTTCTTTACTTAGGGGAAAAGCCATATGTTTGTACAGTCCCTGGGTGTGATAAAAGGTTTACAGAATATTCTAGTTTGTATAAACATCATGTTGTTCACACTCATTCCAAACCTTACAACTGTAACCACTGTGGGAAGACATATAAGCAGATCTCCACGCTGGCCATGCACAAACGGACCGCCCACAACGACACAGAGCCAATTGAGGAGGAGCAGGAAGCCTTCTTCGAGCCTCCCCCAGGTGAGGACTTTGTCTAGTGTCTCTGTGTTTGAGAATCAGCAGTAATTTATGATTTATAGTATTTTCTCAACTGATAGAGCTTCATTTAAATAATCACACAACCATACAATTTATAATTGTGGTAAGTGCTATCAAAGAAAGTACTTCAGGATGTATAAGAAGGGAACTTTCGCCCCGCCAGTTTGGCTCAGTGGATAGAGCGTCGGCCTGCAGACTGAAAGGTTCCAGGTTCGATTCCGGTCAAGGGCATGTACCTTGGTTTCAGGCACATCCCCAGTAAGGGGTATGCAGGAGGCAGCTGATTGGTGTTTCTCTCTCATCGATGTTTCTAACTCTCTATCCTTCTCCTTCCTCTCTGTAAAACATAAATAAAATATATTAAAAAAAAAAAGAAGGGAACTTTCGTCTAGTCTGGACATCAGAGAAAACTTCCCTGAGGAAGTGATTTTTGAGATCTAGAGTGTTAACTAGGTGGAGAGGTGGGAGGTGGGGGGAGGGGGGGGCAGAGCAAAGGCCAAAAGAAACATTTCAAATAGAGGGAATGGCACATGGAAAACCCCTGAGGTTGGAGAGAGCAAAGTAAATCGGAGACTGAGAGGAGCCTGGCCAGTGTGGCACTTCTACCTGGAAGGTGTCATCAAACGAGGCTGGAGAGCCAGGCAGGGGCAGCTGGGTTAGGGATGTGTTAAGGATGTTGATCTTAAGCATAAGAGCAGTGAAGCACTCCCAAATAACTTAATTGATTCATGTGCTGTTGGGTAGTGTTGTAGGAGACAAAAACATTCATTTCATTAAGAATAAACTATTGAAAAAATACTTTGGAAAACTACATTCTGTGGTCTTAGTTAAATAACTCAGCTTAGGTAAATAAGGAAAATGAATAGATTTTTCTAAAACAAAAACAACTTACAGATTATCTTAATGTTTCACTGAATACCTCCTAAGTGAGATAAATTTGAAAATTAAAAACACACACACACACACACAAAAACCTTTCCCATTCTTAACAACTGATGAAGCATTGAAAACATTTAGGTGGCCCTACAGGGTTTGGCTCAGTGGATAGACCATCGGCCTACAGACTGAAGGGTCCCGGGTTCAATTCCGCCAAGGGCACATGCCCTTGTGGATAGGTTGTGTCGGCCGATCCCTGCAGGCCAGACCAAGGGACCCCACCGGTGCATGAATCCATGCACCAGGCCTCTAGTGATATATAAATAGCTATGGAATAGGACAACAGGAAAAACAAAGTAATGACTGCCATGGAAATTATGCCAGGATGACTATGGCCATATGAGTGCATGCATCAACCACTAACTTTGAGAACTACTCTTAAATTAGCATATTATGTCCTTTGAAGGAAAAAAATGTACATTTACCCTATTCCTGCCTTTATTAGTGGTGGAAAAAGATAGAAGAAGAGAGGGTTCAGAAATCTTCCTGGTTGCCAAGTATTGCAGTAATGAACTGTTGAAATTTCTGTTTACTTGCTGGTTCTTTTTGAAATAAAGAAGTGGATGGTGGTTCCTATTCTGTCACTTATTAAATGATTAAGCTTACACCAGATAACATGCCATTACATCGTCTTTACACAATGATGTCATTGTGTACTGATGACTTGCAATCAATTTCCTATTCGTAGTTTGCATTTACACCCCATTCAGATTTGTGGTTAATGTTTATGAAGATTGTCTTATCATTTTTAACAGCTTTTTAAGTGACTGTAAGAAATTGCCATAGTGGAAGGATTATTTGCCAGTCAAGTCTTCCTGTTAGTTCCCCCACTCACTGCCCCAACATACATGTGTAGTATCAGTAATTACTCCAACTAAGAGAATAAGAGAAGTTTCCCAAAATTAGAACACTTAACTTTGATGTTGAAAGGTTTGGTTCAGTCTGCCTTGATTTGCTTTTACTTCGCAAAAATGGAGTTAGAAGAATTGGAAGGAGGTGCTGGAAACCATTTTCATTATGTAGACTATAATACATCTACTTTAATTTGTATAATATTTATTTAATATTTAAAATATCCTCTGTTTTCTAAGCATCTTGGTTGATTGGTCAAATAAATGATTCATTTGTTTTAAACAGGTCAAGGTGAAGATGTTCTTAAAGGGCCCCAGATCACATATGTCACAGGTGTAGAAGGGGATGATGTTGTGTCTACACAAGTAGCCACGGTAACCCAGTCTGGGTTGAGTCAACAGGTTACACTCATATCCCAGGATGGGACTCAGCATGTAAGTATGCACAAAAAGCCAAACAAGTTTAATAATATTTCTCTGAACCTGGGCTTGAAAGTCAGATTAGGTCCCACTTGAGGAAATCCTTGAATATCAGGGCATAAAGTTTGGACCTGAGCTTGTAGGCACTGCTAGCTTTCCTAAAGGTTTTTCAGTAGCATGCTGAGTCTACCTGCAGAAAGATTAGTAGAGAGAAGGTTTGTGACTCTAGAACTCAGATGGTATTACTGGTATAGTTCAAAGGCAAGGCGATGAAGGTCATTACCGCAGTGAAATTGAGGACTTGAAAAGTAATGGATGCATGTGAAACACAATTCAGAGAAGGTATAGGATTTGGTGGCTAAATAGGTCCAGGAGGTGAGATTAAGACATCAGCAGAGCCCTAGCCAGTTTGGCTCAGTGGATAGAATTTTGGCCTGCTGGCTGAAGAGTCCTGGGTTCGATTCTGGTCAAGGGCACATGCCCAGGTTGTGGGCTCAATCCCCAGTTGGGGGCATGCAGGAGGCAGCCAATCAATGATTCTCTGCCATCATTGATGTTTCTCTCTCTCTCTCTCCCTTCCTCTCTGAAATAAAAAAAAAAAAAAAAAACATATTAAAATAAAAAAAGAAATCACATAGCTTTGGCTGAGTGATGACGGCGTCATTAAAAGACCCTAGGAAGTCAGTGATGGGCAGACCTGTAAAATTTCCGAAGGATGGCACTCTCCCTGCTGGAGTCATGGGAGCTTCACATAATTAGTAGAACAGGTATCTTGATTCCCCCAGGAAAAGCAATGTAATAGTTGTTCTCCAATAGTCAGACTTGTTATTGTTTTTCTATATGCCACTAGCCTAAAACAATTCAGACTAGATTTTATTTTTAAGCTCTAGCTAAGATGGGCTTAGCGCCTGGTGGAAATAGGCATCTGGGATTCTTTACCTTCTATATCTGCCTTTTCCTTGGCAAACTCCCTCTTTACCTCTGTCTCTCAGAGCTTTACCTCCCATGATTAATCTGCCATTTGTGTTGGTAACTGTTAAGATGCTAGTGTTAGCTAGGAGGCAAAACGTAGTCAGGATTGGAAAATATGAAGCTCTTGTGCCATCCCATTTAACACCTCCTTACTTTTTTTCTTTTTTAAATTGATTTTGAGAGAGAGAGAGGAAAGGAAAGGGAGAGAGAGATAGAAACATCAAGGAGAGAGAAACATCAATCCTGCATGCCTCCCACCGGAGATGGAGCCCACAACCCAGACATGTGCCCTGACTGTGAATCGAACTTTCAAACTCTTGGTGCATGAGTCAGCACTCAACCACTGAGCCACACCAGCTGGGCCCTCCCCTTAACTTTTGACATCACTAATTCCACACAGACAAGGCCCTCTGGAGATCATTTGATCTAACCTCCCTCCCTCCCTACTATAGGAGAAATTCTCTCCAAAGCAGCCCTAAAATACATGAGGCAGTTTCTCTCTTAAGAGGCAGCCTGTTCCATTTTTGGATAATTACAGTTTTTATCACACAGCAACCTACTACCATGTCATCTACTTAGTGGCTCCTCTTTGACTATATAGAATGAGCTTAATCCCTCTTCACATGCTCCCAAACAGCTATTTTCCCCACTACAATGTTGTATTTTCTGGTAACCTTCCCATTCTCTTCAGGAATTAGGTTTCTGTTCCATTCCTTTAGTCAATTAAACAACAAACATTTATTGAACATCTATCCAGTGCTAGACATTTTGGTAGACTTAGTGTGGGGAGCACAGGAAGGAATTATCATAGTCTAATAGGAGAGAGACCTTCCTAAAATAAACAATCCTATATAATAAAAGGCTAATATGCAAATTGACCAAACGGTGGAACAACCGATCTCTTTGACACGCACTGACCACCAGGGGGCAGACACTCAATGCAGGAGCTGCTCCCTGGTGGTCACTGCACTCCCACAGGGAGAGTGCTGCTCAGCCAGAAGCCAGGCTCACTGCTGGCGAGTGCAGTGGTGGTGGCGGGAGCCTCTTCTGCCTCTGCGGCAGTACCAAGGATGTCCAACTAATGGCTTAGGCCTGCTCCAATTGGACATCCCCCGAGGGCTCCTGGACTGCGAGAGGGCGCAGGCTGGGCTAAAGGCCGCCCCCAAGTGCACAAATGTCGTGCACCAGGCCTCTAGAGTAGTGATGGCAAATCTTTTGAGCTTGGCATGTCAGCATTTTGAAAAACCCTAACTTAACTCTGGTGCCGTGTCACATATAGAAATTTTCTGATATTTGCAACCATAGTAAAACAAAGGTTTATATTTTTGATATTTATTTTATACATTTAAATGCCATTTAACAAAGAAAAATCAACCAAAAAAATGAGTTTGCATGTTACCTCTGACATGCGTGTCATAGGTTCGCCATCACTGCTCTAGAGGCTCATAAAGATGGGTATATAGTTGAGTGCTGTGGCAGTCTGGAGGAAGAAGTAAATGATTTTTCCTGAAGGAATCTTGGAGGCCCTTATAGAGAATGGCTATTCAGTTGGATCATGAAAAATATTCATGAGTGCCGTAACTGGTTTGGCTCAGTGGATGGAGCGTCAGCCTGTGGACTCAAGGGTCCCGGGTTCGATTCTGGTAAAGGGCACATACCTTGGTAGCGGGCACATCCCCAGTAGGGGGTGTGGAGGAGGCAGCTGATTGATGCTTCTCTCTCATCGATGTTTCTAACTCTCTATCCCTCTCCCTTCCTCTCTGTAAAAAAAAATCAATAAAATATATTTTTAAAAAATATTCATGAGTTTGCAAGGGAGAGATTGAAGGAAAGAGCAAAGTCATGAAGATATAATAGTCTGGGACTGCAAATGGTTAGTTGTGGTGGGAGTGCCAAGTGGTTGGTTTGGAAGTATTGGAAGAAGAGTCTGGAGAGGCTGTGAAAGGCCAATCATGAAAGGTCACAAATGCCGTGTAATGAACTGTAGTGATAGGGAGTCACTGGACATTTAAGCAGGGAGCATATTGAAATTTGTTTTTGTAGAAAGGTGTCAAGGCAGAGGGTGATTAGGGAGGGTTAGACTGGATACCTGGAAAGAAGTGGTGTTTGTGGGAAGTCAGATGAGAGAAAGGTAAGGGTCTAAATTGGCAGTAGAGATGAAGAGGAGAAAATGTATTTAAGAAATTTTCTGATAACCTCCTTCTAAAATAGAAGATGTTTATTTGCTCTCCTCAGAGTAGATTTATACAAGGGTTAGGCCTAGTCCTTCATAAAGATTGTCAAATATAACAAGAAACATTGACTGATTTGTAAAATGCATTGTATTGCAGGTCAACATATCTCAAGCTGACATGCAAGCCATTGGCAACACCATCACAATGGTAACGCAGGATGGCACTCCCATCACAGTCCCTGCTCACGATGCAGTCATCTCCTCAGCGGGGACACACTCAGTTGCTATGGTAACTGCCGAGGGTACAGAAGGGCAGCAGGTAATTGCTTTTTTTCTTCTTTTATATCAATCAAAACATGTCAATATCAAAATTGTTAATAGATGTACAGTGTGATATAGCAGTTAAGCACAGAAACTTCACATTGATCCCAGTTTTACAGTTTCTAAGTTACATAACCCTCTGAGTTTGTTTTCATCATCTGTAAAAATAGGAGTGTTGCATCTGGCCCATAAGACTGACATAAGGATTGATTGAGATAGTGCATTTAAACTACTCAGCCCATTAAGTGTTCATTAATGATAGCTCTTCCTGCAATCATCATCATCCTCAGACTCTTAGGGGAAAATTCATTTGCAAAATTTAGTTTATTTAATTTTTTGAATATATAATATATTCACATAGTTCAAAAATCAGAACGTATATACAGGTATGCATTGAAAAATCTTCCTTCTGGCACTCTCCCTCCCAGGAGTCCAGGAATACGCCCATGCCTTCCCCTTTCCCTCACGCCCCCCACCCTTCACCATTCGCTTCCTCACTCCCAAGTTCCAAATTCCCTTCCTTTACCTCCATAACTTCCTAAGCCCATTTCTTCTAGGAATTACTTTTTCTGCCTCTGTAATTTACCCAATATATGTTCTCTTACAAAAAAAAAGTCTTCCCACCCCTGCCTCCATCAACCTAGTTCTTGCCCCGTAGAGATAATCCACATTTATTGGTTTCTCGTGTATTCTTCCAATGATTCATGAAGCATATACAAACAAATACAGTCATTTTCCCCATTTCCTTTTTTTGATGGTAGTAAAGTGTTCTTTACCTTGTTGGTTTTTTAATTTACTAATATATCTAGAAAGTGTATTTCATTATATAGAGAGCTTCCTCATTCTTTTTTTAATCTATATTGTATTCCACTGTATGGGTATGCCATAATTCATTTGGTTTTTGCTGTTTCAAATAGCACATAACCTTGTGCACATGTGATTTTGCATGTGTATGAGTATATCTTGTAGGTAAATCCCTTGAGCGGAATTGGTGGGTAAAAAGATATATGGGTTTGCAATTGTAATGTGTTGCCCAACTTCCCTTCTAGGGTTGTGCCACTCTATATTCCTGCCGGCAGTGTTTGAGAGTGCCAAGCTACTCTTCCCTTTTTGTCCCTGTGGAAAAAAAATCCTTTTGGATTTTTGTCAATCTGATGTATCTCTTTGTAGTTCTAATTTTTTATTTTCATTAAAATACATGATATTGATTAATACATTTAAAAACTGTTCTTGTACAGTGCTGAAGGCAATGTTAAGTTTCACTGCAGTGAGAGTCTGTCTTAATTAGTAGCTCTCATTCTTTGTAAATTCATTTATAGATTTCAATACCGTCATAATGAAAATTTCAGCAGACTTTTTTTTATGATATAGATAATCCAATTCTAAAATTTACCTGAAAATGCAAAGGACCTATAAAAGCCAAAACAATATTGAAAAAAGAACAAAGTTGAAGTTCTTCTACACCTTGAAATACAAAACTCAGAATCTTAAAGCTTCTGGAGAATTGAGTATTTTTGCAGCCTTAGAAAAAAGATTTAAGATACAGAATGTACTAACAAAAGAGAAAACTGACCAATTGGACTTCATCAAAATTAATTCTGCTCACCAAAATATATCACTAAGAAAAAGTGCCAAACTGGGAAAAAGTTAGTCACAGTATTTATATATCTGACAGTGAACTTGTATTGGATATATATGAGAAACCCTCTACAAATCAATAATAAAAACATGAACAGCCCATTAAAAATGAGCAGAATAAATAAATAAAGTTTTTAAAAAGAGCACATTTGATTGCTTATTTAACAGACCCTTTACAAAAGAAGATGACTGGCAATAACACAAAAAGTACTTAACATCTTTAGTCATTAAAGAAGAGCAAATTAAAATCTCAGTGAGATACCTTTTCAGACACAGGAAAATGGCTAAAATAAAAGAAGACTTAAAACCAGATGTTGGCAAAGATGTGAAGTAACTGGAACATTCATATACACTAGTGGGAGTGTAAAATGATACCACCACTTAGAAGAACAGTTTAGCAGTTTCTTATAAAATCGAACATACCTCTGCTCTTTGACCCAGAAATTCCACTAGAATTCATACTGTATTGTTCCACTTGTACGAAATCCAAGAGCAGACAAAACAAATCCATGCGATAGAAATCAGAAAGTTCTGCTTGGCTTGGGAAGGACATTGATGGCAGGGAATATGGAGGAACTGTACTATATCTTGTTTTAGGTGCCAGTTTCACAGATTATCTGTCAAAACGCAATAGAGCACCTAAGATGGGTACTTATTTATTGCTTGCTAATTATACCTTATGCAAAAAACACACAAAACAACACAACTTTCAGGCTGTCTTATAGAATGGTCCCACCTAATCAGTTTGCAGCCATTTCCATGGCTCTAGAATACTTGGTTGGGTTTATAACTCAGCTTGGGTAAATATACCTTGTACTAATTATAGTTGCAGGTCTGGAAAGATAGTGACCCTAAAGCAAACATTCTTATGCAGCTTATCTGTAGCCTGTGGGCTAAGACAGTTCTCTGGAGAGATAGGAAAATTCTCAGAAGACAAGGCTTTGAGGGCTGGAATGAAATCAGTCTGCTTCCAGCACTAGGGATATCACAAGGGTGGGAGGTTTTACATGAGGACCAGCTACTGCCATTGCTTCTCTGCTGCAGCTGTAGGCCATTGTGCAGATGTTGATGATCTACTTGGGTGTTCAGACTCCACCTGTGGATTTATGAAGGGCAGGCTTTAGCATTATTTGTAGTCCAGACCCTCTAACTTGGCAGGATAGAAACTAAATGTTGTCTCTCCTGTAGTGAGTGTTGCTGAAATCTCCACTTTTTCAGACTTCCAGCTGCTGCTTTCTACCAGAATTATTGGAACTTACCGATACACTGGCAGTTCTGGGGTCTTAAGGAATTGGGGAGAGTTTATACACAGATTTGGGGGGGTCCCCCTCTGGTTTTCTCCTTTCTAGAATATTCCTCCCAATGTATGGCCATTCTGGCAGCCCTAGACTCCATTATCTCATACATTAAGTTGCCCTGTGCTGCGCAGACTGGGGAATGGTCTCAGTGAAAAAGCTATTTCAGCAGAGATGTGAACCAACATGGTTTCCTTTTTTGAGAATCCCCTGCAGTTTCTGCCTGCTTTTCCTCATTCTTCAATGCTTTCAACAGTTGCTTTTTTCTATTTTTGTCCACAGTTTATGATAGTTATCTGCAGGATGGGTTAGTCCGATATAAATCACTGCCCTTGCTGGGCCAAACTCTGTTACTAGATTATGAAACATTGCTGGGATTGATCCAGTTTAGCATTTTAGTGGACTAGTGGCCAAGAAAAACAGAAATTTTATTTTTTAATCTATTCTTCCTCTGAGTTTGGCTGAGCAAAATTTTAGAATATCATATAACAGAAGTAGTTGATGCCATTTTCCATGTTATCTACATAGGAAGAGTTACATTTGTGGTTTAAGAGCCATGAAAGCACTTTTAACCACTCTGGATAGATGCTTCAGCAACAATATGCAAAGATTCCATGGCATCTAAAATAGGAAATGAGTATAACAAGATATGTTGCTATTTGTCAGTAATGCTACTGGTCCTTTCAGTTTTCCTGGAGTCTAATGAAAAGGTAACGGGTAAACAGGAGAAAACAGTGTATTATCGACCACTGCTCCAAACTTGGAAATAGACATTTGATATTTGAATTATTCCACATGTGTAACTTTCCAAGCATCCACTTAGGGGTAATAGAACCCAGGCACAGTCATGTCTCCCCTGAGTAATAGAGTCTGTGATAGGGATCCACTTCTCCAGTATCCTCTACCCTGATATACCATTGCCTCACTCCATAATCTTGGATAAATCCCTTCTTTCTGAGCCTCGGTATTCTCAAAAGAGGAGTCCAGAGCAGACAATATATAAGGAAGGTCTCTTCAGCTTCAGGCTTCTGCAGCTCTGTGGTCAGAAGGGAGTTTTTCCTTTTGAATTTGAAGACAGTCCTTTTCTTTGAAAGGATTTTAACCTATTTAAATCATAATTTTTTTAGCCCTAGCTGGTTTGGCTCAGTGGATAGAGCATTGGCCTGCAGACTGAAGGGTCCCAGGTTCAATTCCAGTCAAGGGCATATGCCCAGGTTGCAGGCTCAATCCCCAGTAAGGGGTGTGCAGGAAGCAGCCAATCCATGATTCTCTCTCATTGATGTTTCTATCTCTCTCTTCCTCCCTCTCCCTTCCTCTCTGAAATTAATAAAAATATATATGTATTTTTTAAATCATAGTTTTAATTCTTTTGTGTATTTTTTGGTTAAGGTTGCAATTGTGGCTCAGGACTTGGCAGCATTCCACACTGCCTCATCAGAAATGGGGCACCAGCAGCACAGCCATCACTTAGTAACCACAGAAACCAGACCTCTGACCTTAGTGGCAACATCCAATGGTACCCAGATTGCAGTTCAGGTGAGTCCAGAGGCAGCTGTCTTCCCTAACTTTGCATATTCTAGGGGAATTTTTAGTGAGAAAAATAAAGCTTCTAGTATGTATCCCATATGCATCAAGCCAGCTATCTTAACTCTCAGAAAAAAAGTCTTATTAGGCCCTAGCTGGTTTGACTCAGTGGATAGAGCATCAGCCTGCAGACCAAAGGGTACTGGGTTCGATTCTGATCTAGGGCATGTACCTAGGTTGCAGGCTTCTCCCTGGCCCAGGCCCTGGTTGGGGCTCATGCAGGAGGCAACCAATCAATGCGTTTCTCTCACATCGACATTTCTCTCTGTCTTTCCCTCTCTTTAACTCTAAAAATCAATGGAAAAATATCCTCAGTTGAGGATTAAAAAAGAACACACTGATGAAAATTCCAGCCATTGGTTTTAATTTAGCTTATGGGCATAGAAGCTAAAGGCTCAGGAAGCGCTCTAAATTATCTCCCTTGGAAAAGATGGCTGTCTTTTGTCCCTTGCATGTGCAAAAGTTTACCAAAATCCTAAATAAAGAAACTGTATTATTTTCCCCTGTAAGAAGTGGGTTTGTTTTAGTTTTTACTTTCTCTTACTGATAGGATCAAGTGGAGGTTGTTTAACAAGCCCAGGTGCCAGAAATCCCACTTCTGGCATACAAGATTCCTTTGGCATTATCTTGATTGTGGGTTTGTGTATGTTCCTGTTTCAGCTTGGAGAACAGCCATCTCTGGAAGAAGCCATCAGAATAGCATCCAGGATCCAACAGGGAGAAACACCAGGGCTGGATGACTAATCCTGAGAGCAGTAAAGCCGGGGAGCCTTTCATCTTCAGGCAGCAGAGTTCCAGGAAGCCCGGGGCCCAGGAAAATGATAACTTTTCCATTCCTCAACACTGTACACGTTTTTATGCAAGAGTGGAGAACATTTTATTCTTGACACTTTTGTGCATATAATCCTTGGAATAGATTTCCAAATTGATTCATTGTGTACAAGGAAGTATGAAATTAGGGCAATCCAGTAAATTTTCACATTACTCTTTTATCACATTGCAGACTCCTAGAGTCTTTATATAAGACAGTGAAGTCTTACCGAGACTTAGGGTGGATTTTTAACTTACTGTGAAAAAAAACCACACAAATAAAGGCTATATCTAAAATATCAAAGGTTCTATATGTCACACAATCATAATTCCAAAAGCCATCATGGATAATAAAGAATGTAAAGCCTTCAAATATTTCCCCCGGTTAGTAGAGTGTCTGCAGCTTTTGTTCTACTGTATATTTGTCTGTTTTTATTTGTGTCTCATGGTTTGAAGACTGTTCATTAAGGCTTCCATTCCTGTTAATTACCAGCTCTTCAAGCTGAAATGCTAATTATATTAGCACTACATTGGATTATGTATAAAATTACAAAGTTTGGTTACTTAAAATTAAAAAGCTAAATCCAGTACTTTGGTTTTGTTAAAGACTTTACTTAGTGTTCATGTTTTTGTTACTGTTTTTAAAAAAAATAATGCACTATCAAAGTTTGACCACAATCTGGAGCCCAGATAACAGTGGCTTTACTCTGAAAATAAGGTTAGTGGGTTGGTGTAAATTATTTATTTTTTTGCTTATGTACTTTTGTTTTAAAGCTTATTTACCCTAAAGTTTATTATTTTGAATACAGCAATTTTTAAAATGTTACCTTTATATTTGTTTTATTAAATTGGTATGGGGGTGGGGGGAACTGTTACAGAAAATACCACGAATGTAATAGATTATAACCCAACACACATGATTGAGAGTATATTGTAGATCAAGCACCGAATAAGTACTATTCTATACATTTTTATGTACTCATAACAGTTTTGTGAGATATATGGAATTTACAATCCCATATTTGTACAGGAGGAAAGTGAAGTTCCAAAGAAGTTAAGTGTCTTACCCAGGTCTATGGCTGTGAAGGGGCAGAGCAAGGACTTGAGAACCCAGACTTTCTGACTCCCAAATCCAGTGTGTATTTCACCACGCCACAGCTGCCTTCTCAGATGATAATTTATGGCAAAGATTATCAAGATGAGCTTTGGTTTCTGGTTACCTAATAATCTGAGCACTTGGAAAACCATCTCTAATGTCAGAAATTCAGCTAAAGATTAAAAAAAAGGGGATGGGGGTGGAGGGTTGTCCTGCAACAATCACTTGGTCGCTGTCATTCTCCATGCTTTGTTTGCCAGAGAGCTGACATGTGGCTGGTTTTCCTTTCCAGCTTTACAATAAAAAAGGAAAAAATGTCAGGCTGTTTTATTTAATGCTGGAGGCCCTGTGCACAGACTCATGCACAGTGAAAGTAAATTAGAAGGTGGCCGGTGGAGCAGGACTGGGCAAGACAGGCCAGACACATCCTGGAGCCAACCTTCGGGGATCCCTCCCTAGCTGGTGCCAGGGCTCAAAGGGCGTCTGCGGAGTGAGCAGGGTCCCTTGGCCTGGTCTGCGGGGGTCCTGCAGAAACCAGCAGTCTGACATCCCCCGAGGGGTCCCAGAGTGGAAGAGGGCACTCGACAAAAGTTGCTGTGGCTCTGCAGCTCCAGGATTGAGTGCCTGCCCCTCTGGTGGTCAGTGCACATCATAGCTACCAGCTGGTCACTTGCTTAGACTTCTACATATATAGATGAGTGTTATCTTGGATCAGGTTCTTTGAAGTCTTAATGAAAAAGGGTCATGACTTAGTCATTTGAAATGGGAAACCTTTCCGAGTTGGGCAGGGCATTGGTGGCTTGCCCTTCAAAGCTGTTCGTAGATATATAACATTAGAAAAGGTCTTAGTCACCCGCAGATCCAGTCTTCATTCTTGACAGGGACATTTAAACATGCTGAGAACTCCCAGCTGAGGCCTGCTGAGGCTCAGACAGGGGCCTCAGGGGGTGAGCAGGAGAACAATCTGGAAAGTCCCAGGGCGGAGCACCAGCCTCCCAGTCCCTGTCCTGCCGATAGGGAGCCCCTGGGCTGGGCCCACCAGCCCTTCTGTGCTTCCCAAGACCCAAACCCAAGCTATCAGCTTCCCTGGGCCTCTCACAGCTCCTTTGCCGGCTGGACTCTGCTGGTGGACCTGATTATCCCTCAGCTCAAAGAAAATGCCTTCCTCAGGAGGGGGCAGGATTTCCCCAAGGACAAACCAGCCGATGTGCTGACAGTTGCTAGTTAGTGAGGCTGGTGTAGGTTTCACAGTGCAGGATGCCGGAAGGAGCCCTCTGAAGTTGAAGTCCCCCGAAGGCACTTGATGAAACAAGAGTACACTTTAGCAAAAGGAGCCGGTAGGAGAATAACTGCAGTACAATCCAGACAATGCTCAAGGCAAACCTTCCAGTCCAAGAAAAACACTCTATCCCAGACACAGCTCCGGGCCACTACAAAGGAAAGAATTTAGAAAATAGCACTAGCTGTTTTGGCTCAGTGGATAGAGCGTCGGCCTGCGGACTGAAGAGTCCCAGGTTTGGTTCCGGTCAAGGGCACATGCCTGGATTGCAGGCTCGATCCCCAATGGGGGACATGCAGGAGGCAGCCGATCAATGATTCTCTCTCATCATCGATGTATCTATCTCTCTCACCCTCTCCCTTCTCTAAAATCAATAAAAATACATTAAAAGAAAAAAGAGGAAATAGAATAAAATGAGGGATTGGCTTCCTTAATCCTCTACAGGTGGCAGCTGCCCAGGGGGCCACATCACTCCCTAACTACCCCCAACTCGGCCACCCTCCATCAGGAGCAAACTAACTGGACAATCTCTCATGCTGCTTTCCTGTGGGGCAGCCCTGGGACTGGGACTAGGTAAGTACCTTAGGAAACCAGGCACTAAGCACCGAAATAATCTAGATTTCCATGTATCATCCCAAGGAATTTTGGGTCTAGCATTTACTGGCTCAGATGTGATTGTAGACCAGTCAAGTGTCAGCAGACCCCAACAGTGAGAGGGGACAGTGAAAAGGAAAGGGCACAGCTGAAGTCTGTTGTCAGGAGGGAAAGGTAGAAAAGGCTGCCTCAGCCCCCTCTGCTGTAGCACTTTCTATACTTAGATTTCCTTTAGGGATGAGGAGATCTTTCAAAGAATACTATATATATATATATATATATATATATATATATATATATATATATATATTTTTTTTTTTTTTTTTTTTTTTTTTTTTTTTTTCCCAGAGAGGAAGGGAGAGGGAGAGAGAGAACCCTCAATGATGAGAATCATTGATCAGCTGCCTCCTGCATGCCCACACTGAGGATCAAGCCCACAACCCGGGCATGTGACCTGACCTGGAATCGAACTGTGGCCTCATGGTTCATGACTCAATGCTCAACCACTGAGACACACCGACAGGGACAAATACCCTCCTTTATTTTGCCTGAGGAACAGGGCTGGCGTCATGGACGTGTGACCAGTGCAGTTGAACAAGACCCTGCACTCTGGCCCTGACCAGTTTGGCTCAGTGGATAGAGCGTTGGCCTGCGGACTGAAGAGTCCCAGGTTCGATTCCAGTCAAGGGCATGTACCTTGGTTGCGGGCACATCCCCAGTGGGGGGTGTGCAGGAGGCAGCTGATCGATGTTTCTAACTCTCTATCCTCCCTTTCTCTCTGTAAAAAAATCAGTAAAATTTATTTAAAAAAAAAAAAAAAAAAAAAAAGACCCTGCACTTGGGAGTTAATGCACACTGGAGTTGAAGTCTTGAAATTCTTAATCATCTTATCTGTGAATCTGTGTTCTGTAAGTGAAGTCTCAAGGAACAATGAATGGAGCAGGAACTGGGGGCTTGGAGCCTGGACTTAGTCCCACCCCCTGTGGCCTGTCTCAATGAGTTCTCTTTTCCATGCTACTTCCCTGCCTGGCCTCCCCCTGCTTGCCCTCCCCCTGTGACTGCTGCTGTGCCTTCTGCCTTTGGCAGGGGCCTGGGTGCCAGTGCAGGAGGATCAGTGACAGGCGCATACACCCTGTGGAGGTTGGCGCCCATGGTGGTGACCATTTTTGCCCTAGGTTGGCAGTACCATAGTGTTCCTGGTGGGTGGCCAACTTTAGCTGAGTCTTGACAGGAGCAAGCCTCTTGCCTATCCCAGCTCTGAGTTTTGAAGATACCTGGGAGTAGCCCATTTACTGTGGGCTGGGGTGGCAGTCCTGTGGGAAGGGGTGAGGGGATTTGTCGGCCCAAGAGAGCGCCTGCCCCAAGCACCTTGAGGGCCCAGGTCCTCAGAAACTCTTTCCCCAAGCTTGTGCCAGGAGGACCCTCACTTCCTCCCTCTTCCTTTCTTGGGCCAGCTCCAGTTACCCTCCCTTCCTGGAATGAGCCACAGAATTCCAATTGCATCATTTCAGTGATCCCCAAATACAAGTTACACACTCTGATAGTTTCATTTAAAATTGGCATTGCATAATAGAAATATGAAGGATAACATTCATGCTGAAGTTCTTTAATTTTTCTTAGAATGATGTTAAATAGCAAATTAAAACACCATGAGAAGTAGTGTGTGTGTGTGTATATGTGCGCGCGCGCGTGGAGGGGTGTGAAGGGTTTTGAGTTCAGTGTCATTAAGTACGTTAACATTGTTGAGCAAATATCACTACTCACCAGCTAAAGAACTTTTTCAAACAATAACTCCCCATCACCCCTCCCCCGGCCCTGCAGCCACCTTTCCATTCTCTATGAATCTGCCAAGTACCTCATATAAATGTCTTTGTGTATCTGACTTTATGTATGCATTTAACCACACTTTTTGAGAGAGAGAGAGAGAGAGAGAGAGAGAGAGACATCAATCTGCTGTTCACTTATTTTTGCTTTCATTGGCTGTTTCTTGTATGTACCCTGACCAAGGATTGAGCCCACAATCATGGTGTATTAGGACAATGCTCCAAGCAGCCGAGCTACCCAGCCAGGACCTCACAGCACTGTTTTTCTTGCTTTTTGACCAAGAGGCCCCACATTTCCTTTTTGACTGAGCCTCACAGATTGTGTAGCCTGCCCTGCTGAAAAAAGCCCTTCTCGCCCTAACCAGTTTGGCTCAGTGGATAGAGCATAGGCCTGCAGACTAAAGAGTCCCAGGTTCGATTCCGGTCAAGGGCATGTACCTTGATTGCGGGCACATCCCCAGTGGGGGAAGGGGGGTGCAGGAGGCAGCTGATTGATGTTTCTCTCTCATTGATGTTTCTGACTCTCTATCCCTCTCCCTTCCTCTCTGTAAGAAGTCAATAACATTTTTTTTTTTTTAAAAGCCCTTCTCTTCTCACTGTCACACAGCAGGTGTGACTTGTGTTTCAGAAACATAGCATCTGCTTTTCCCTTTTAGATTGTGGGATCCCTTAGGATAAGGAAGAATTCCACTTCCCCATAACTCCTGGTGACCTGGCAGAACAGCAGGTCACCTCTAGCTGTTCCCTCTGACTCTAAACTCCCCTGGCTTGAGAGGTACAGAGAATCTCCATGCG